GTTCAATATTTGAACAAATAGTTTTTTAGGATTAAAATGTTTATAACAACGATAACATTATTTTTAAATGGTTTTATAAAAATATAAAATATAATATAGATGTAATATTTTTATCTAATATTTACTATAYTTTTATACCTGGGTAATTTTTACAAATTATCAATGTTGATGGATTAATTTAAATCATAGKTCCCAATATCTTCCAAACAAAATATCATGGACGACGGGCCATAATAATAGATAGTATTTAAAAAGTAATATTTCTCAATTACTATACTCGTTCAAATTTTKATTTTTATACGTCAGCTGTATGGTGTCAAGTAAAACAAAAGTACATCGATTATTTTAGGCTAGAATTTTAAACGGGATATTTTATTATAAAWAGAGGGTATCAATAAAGTTATTGATTGTTAATTTATATAGAAAAGAAATGTCTGCTATAATTCTGCACACCAGCACACCTAAAAGACTGAGCGGAAAAGTTTAGTAATTAAAAATATAATATAAAACTACTTACCTATTATAGGATGTATGATATRTCTACAGTTCGTTTTTGAAAATCTTGGATATGTTTAAAAATGTAATGTGTGTACTTACGAAATGTATTGAGTAATAATATATAAGTCACTGTTTTTGAAACAGAATATTATTATAGCTATTCTATATATAATTATTATTTTTTTTTCATAAAATTTTTCAATTAAACAATTTATAGTAAAGATTTTACTCTCATGCGACGCGTTAACGACTCAATATATTATAATTTACACACGCATAGTTTTCAAATATAATAAATCGTTCTCGTTAGTTATTTACCTCGAGATATTATACAATACAATAGGTATTAGGTTTGTGTATAACTCTTTGGCATTATTCGATTCTTAATTATATTTATTGTACACACGCTCCCTCCCACGCCCTCGCAAAACAACACCAYTCACCACCCGCACCAAACATATTTTCAGTATTATTTTTAACATTATATACAAGTATAGGAATAAAAATAAATTTAGTATTTTTGTTCAGACACAACTTTAATCGTGGACATGCATTATTTTAAAACAACATTGGCAACTATTTAATGTATAATATATTATTCTTATGTATAATGTTATAGAAAACATAAATTACACAACTCGATGACCACAGTAGGTGACCTTCGTACATAAGTGAACATAAATTTTCCAATTGTTCTAAACTTACGGCATCGCAAACATTGCAGATACCATCTCGGTTGGAAGTCTTCGCCAACACGTCGTATATCAAAACAAGAGGATTGCAGTTGTTGATGACGGTGTCATATAATAACTAATTTCATTTCTAAGTGTTACGATATAATAATAATATAATATTTATAATGACGTTACAATGTATAATAGCGTTTTTAATAATAATTAATAAATTAACTAATTATGCTTTAACTTATTAGTTATATAGGTAACATAATATTTATATGTTGTTTGTTAATTATTATTAATAACGCTATTTTAGATATAATACCTGTTGTAACGTAATGACCGTTATGAGATTAGTAATTATTATTGATTGGCGGGGTAGTGGAGTGAAGCACCTTGTTGATCGTAATACATAGCAGCTACCGTCATTCCCTGGAAGGCGACGCGAGCATACATCATCTTTTGCCCTAACATAGGCCGGTTGGTAATCATAGAGCCAAGTCCGACAGCATAACAGCCCACAGTCATCATAATACCTGCAAAATTAGTGGTTATTACAGAATGATTCACAAAGCATGTTAACCTTATTTTTTTCTTCAATATAATAAAATTGTTCTAGTAATAAATTATTGGAATTTTTTCAAATTCTTAAATTATTTTGTACTATTTAAAGAGTAGGTATCTTGTGACAATACAAACTTCTGTTTTTGAAATATAACCTCCTCCCCCATGGCCCCATTTTACTGTAAATTATTTAGTGGTGAACTTTTTTTGAACATTTGATGTACCTAATTAGAAATTCGAACGAATTAAAATTTTTATGATAACAATAATAGTCTTTAAAATGGGCACGCCCATGTATACCAATTACCAAATTTAAAAAATCAGTTTTTGATAACTTATTAAAGAAAAAAAGGTAATGCACGTGCTTGATGAATTACACTGTATTTTATAATATAATATTATTTATGGAGCTTACGCCATATTTTAGAGTTTTAATTTAAATGCGAGTGGGATCTTGAAACGTTTTGTCTAAATCGYTTTGACAATGTATATGTATACCATCGACTTGTATATTTATTTAAAATRTATTTTCCAAAAAAATAATGCATTAAAAAAAATACTAAACACCTAATATTATTATTATACAAATACATAATATGCAAACGAACTAGAATAACATTATTGTATCATTTACTACTACGAAATAAATCGATCTAAATKTGTGTAATAGAAATATCAAAATGTTCGTTATTAATTTTTGACACCGGTATTTGAAATATTCAAATATACCTCCATGTAATAGCCACGAAAATCTATTGTTTCAAAAAAATCTTGTGTCGAAAAAAAATCAATGACAATATTATTTTTACAGTCGTTGTTTATATGGTGTTTTGTGATAACATCGGTTCATTATAATATATGATATAATGTGCCACCGAACGGTGTCGTTTCGCACACATTGAGTTTACAGTTTCACACATACATTATACACACATGAGTTTATGACGTTCTCTTTGTAATAATTTTTATAGTGACTTAGAACTGACCTATTGGTATTAATAGATTTCCGCCCAATCGTTGAAAAAGGCTAGGACGTGGAGCATCCCGGAAATCCGGCACCATCTTCACATTAGCCAAATTGTTTTCCATCGTCAAAATGTCAATAATGATCGTACGTAATTTAGATAATAGTATAATACCATAGACCATAGACATTTAATATAATAGACCAGGAACGATAAATGTTTACCGTGTAATACATTGAAGCCAACATATGTGCGAGRGAGACAGACAATGTGAGGTTTTTTCATGGAAGAAAAAGTATATAATATAATATAATATAATGTATTATAGGGTAGACACCACTGCTACGTACTACTACTGCAACGACATTATACTACTCCGATATTTCATTATCAATACTACGTATACAACTATCTCGAATGTCAATTGTTACGAATATCAACTACAACGATATTAGATTGTGCGGTGAATGTGCTGAAGAGTGAAGACTATGAACGATTGCCTGGGCGCCCTCACGTTCCCACCACGTTGGAAAAGAGCYCGATTAGTGCTGATCAGGAAGGGCGCGGACAAGCCCCCGGAGGCCCCATCAAGCTATAGGCCAATATGCATGTTGCCATGTTGGACTCATCGGGCAAGTTACTCGAGCGTCTGCTTCTCCAACGTCTGGAAAAGCACCTGGACGAGCATGGAGGTCGCAGGAGAGCGCCCAACCAGTTTGGTTTCCGCAAGGGCATCAGCACCGAGTCGGCGGTCACCAGCGTACTGAGCATCGCAGCCCAGGCAGCCGCCACCCCCGGCAAGAAGAATCTGTGCGTCCTGGTCACTTTGGACGTGAAGAATGCGTTCAATTCCCTGAGGTGGCCAGTGAACGATGCCGCACTCAGACGCATGCAGACGCCGGAGTATCTAGTCGAGATGCTGAGGTCATGGCTGTCAGACATGACGCTGTTAAATGGCGTCGAGAGGACACCAAGAATAGTGACTTGCGGGGTTCCTCAGGGATCCGTGCTCGGTCCGGCTTTGTGGAACGTCGCGTACAACTCCCTGCTGAAAATGGACGTGCCACCGGGGGTCAAACTCATCGGTTTTGCCGACGATCTGGCAGTTGTTGGAACGGCGGTGACGCGGCAGCTGCTGGAAGACCTGGTCAACCCGGTTCTGCAAAAGATTGATGAGTGGATGTCAAGCCACGGACCGGAACTTGCCCACCAGAAGACGGAAGCGGTCATTCTGTTAAGGAGGCGTGCGTATGTCCCCCCGAGGCTGTCGATCGGAGGTCACCCGATCACACTGTACGGAAAGATCAGATACCTCGGGGTGATCCTAGACAAAAACCTGACCTTCGCGCCCCATGTTGATACCGTGACTAAGAAGGTGTCACGCACGTCAGCCGCGCTGGCGAGGCTGATGCCGAACATAAACGGCCCGAGCCAATGCAAGAGGAGGCTCCTGGCGACGGTTGTTGAGAGTCAGTTTGTTATACGCAGCCCCGGTGTGGTGTGACACGGTTGCAGCCTTGGCTAGGACGAGATGCAACCTGATATGTCCCCAAAGAGCAGCTGCTCTGAGGGTGACCAGGACTTACCGCACGTTGTCTGACGAAGCCGCTTTGGTACTCGCCGAGCTGCCGCCGGTGGACCTTTTGGGCCTGGAGAGGAAAAGGATCCGAGCGCGAGCCGCCGCTCCTCTGATCCCGGACACCGTGTCGCCATCTAAGGCCGCAATCAAGAGCTAGGAACGTAGGGAGACAATCGCTCAGTGGCAGGAGAGATGGCTAGCTACGTCCAAGGCTTCGTGGACGAATTCGCTACTGCCAGACATCGGTAGGTGGCTTGGAAGAACCGTGCCCAAGATCCCGCTTTCGTTCCACATGACGCAAGCACTGACGGGCACGGCTGCTTCCAGCAATATCTTCACAGGTTCGGAAGGGCCAACTTCCCGCGATGTACATTGTGCCATCACGACTCCGACACCGCCGAGCACACGCTATTGAACTGTCCCTTTTTTGAGGGAATGAGGGAAGAGCTATGCAGTCGCCTCGGGCGTTTGCCACGCAAGGAAGACATCCCGGCGATTCTATGCGGCCCCGACTTTGAGTCTTTGTCCGCAGACCCCGAGGAGAGGAATGCGGTGTTGGTTAATGCGGAAGAGGATTTCAGGTTGTTTTACCGTTTGGTGGAAGCAATTATGACCCTCAAGGAGGAAGAAGAAAGAAGGAGACAGGCGATGGACAGGGGCTGACGGGTCGTCTGCCATTTAAGACATCAAGGAGTTGGAGGAGGGAGCCAGGCAACCATCCACTGCTCCAGGAGTCTGACGCTCCATCGGACAAGGCTTTGAAGTGCAGTTAAAATTGTTGATAATCGTAAATTGTTGTTAATAATTGTTAATAATTGTTTGTATCCGAATCGTTGTAATTT